GTTATAATAAATGAAAATATTTTTCATCAATGATATATTGATTGAATCGTTATCTTCTTAATCCAACGCTATAATCTTAAGATGCTTCAATCAATATATCATTGATGAAAAGTATTTTCATTTATTATAACAATTTATAGAATATAACTTCTTAATTTACGAAAAAAAAATATTCAAAACTGATCTTTAGTGTTAGTTGGTGCAATAGAATCTGAGCCTATGCGTCATCCATGACAGCATGTGCACTTGTCAGAAATTTTCTCGCCTACGCGTCTTTCTTTCATTAAAAATTGTCCCTGAACTTAATGTTATATGCAGTTTGCACCACCAACTAATTCTCATGTTAATTATAATAAATTTTAATGTATAACACAAATACAATTAATACAACTTCCACTCGTATTTTTTATTAATTGAACTCTTGCATATTGCAATGGGGTGGTCGGGGCTTCTCCAAAACATTACTTAATAATTTTTTAGGGCGGGGGGGGGGGTGGAAGCGTGTATACAGGCGAGCAGGGGTTTTCAAAAATACTCCAAATATGCATTACGTAATTTATAACCGGCCCCTAGTAAAAATATCTCTTTTCTAAAGTAATTTTTAGGAGAAAAGCAAGGAGAAGGTAACATTCCTTAAGGAGAGTTGATGGATCTTCATCTAAGCTAATTTTAATATATCAGGCGTGTTTTTGAGACTGTGTTTAATAAATTCACTGTCAACATAAGTAACTTTGCCTTAAAATCACTCAACACCATTTATGTACAACCAGTGCAATGGATCTAATGATGAAAATTACTTCTCAAAATGAGAAGCAAAATTATCAACATTAACTTTAGGATCGGAGGAACTATTCATTCAAAGTTAAATATTTATAGAGGCATGTAAATTTGACCTTGCAAACAGTTTCTGACCAAAAAGGTGATGGATTTTTTGTAGTGTCATCCTCTGTGTGTCATTTATAGCACAGAACCCTGATATTTCTCTTAATGGTGGCATAAAGTAGTACCACAGCCACACAAAGATAATCACACTTAGTAATTTTAGTTCTCTAATTATGTCAGATAAAAACCAGCAAGGGTATTAATATATGGGACCTGGCCGAAACCAAAGGCATATTTGTATAAGTAGTATCATAATGTTTAGAATAAAAAACATTACACAAAAAATTTACATTTGATTTTTGTCATTGGTAAAATCCAAGGACCAATCAACTTGAGATAGCTGATAATTAATTTCATCAAAATTAGCTTTTTTTTAAATTACAACATGTAGATAGGTTGCAAAATCTTCCTGGATCTAGATTTGTCAGTAGGCAAAAATAAATCAAATTTCAAGAGAGGATGGTAAGGTATATTTATTTATTTAAAAAACACAACGAACTATCAGATAACATCTCATGCCATTTATGACATAAGAGTGCATGGTTTGTTGATTTGTACTAAACATTATACTAAAACCAATGACAATGTTATAAAATTAGGAATGTCTTTATCATATTTCATATCAAGGTTTATTAGTTATAATTGCAAATCACATAAGAAGGGTCACATTTCTATGAAAATAAGGAAAAGACTCATTGTGCTTTTCAATCATCTACTCCAGTTGAAGATCATTCTTCAAAACTTTTTCAAAACCTACTTTTCTATTTTGTAGATTCTTGTGATGTATCACAATTATATCACAGAGAAATGTCTGAGTTGGTGCTTTTACCCTTCGAAATTTTATTTTTTAACTCCATTGGAAAAAGTTTTCTTATGCGTTAGAATATCTACGTGAATTAAACAAGTATATTATTGTTCTAAGAAATAGTTACTGCTTAGTGTTCTGTATGTAGTGAATACTGTTGTAAGATTTGATGGACGTATATGCACTTCAATTATTCTTTTCTATGTTAACATATGCAATCATTCTTATTTTATTGGATAATGAGGTTACATTAAACCAAGAAATATATTTAATAGCTTTTTGAGTCTTTTGGTAGCAGGCAATTGATGCTCAATTGCTGATGTTAGAAAGCCATAAATTTGCATAATCTTGCTATAGAATGAATTTCATGTTGAAATGAGATCATTGTTGCTCTACAAAATCTACACAACCCCAATTTTGGATTTTAGCTCAAAATATTTTGAGTGTGTTTCTCCTTATCAATCAACTTTTGTCTATGTCTTTAATTTGGTTTCTGAAATGCAAATCTCCTGACCACCATTTGTGATTTTTTGTTTTGTATATTTTTAATATTTTATTCCCTTATAATGGTTTTGATAAACATTTATGTCATTGGTCTTATCCAGATTTTTGCCAATTTTCTTTCTGTTTGTGACTTGGAATAGAATAGGCAGACTTTTAGGACCAGCACCCTTATTTCTCAAATTGGAGATTGTTTCCTGGGAAGTTATTGGATTTTTGTTTTGCGTTCAATAGTCTCTTTTATTTAATATTTTTCGCTTGATCCTTTTTTACCATATCGACCACAACCACCTGTGTAGTTTCAGTGAAACTTTTTGCACATAGTGTTGCTTTACATAAAACCTTTCATGAAGAATGTCTCATCAATGTATTTTGTTAAATGTGTCTTCATTAAAAGGAAAAAAATAAAGAGAAAGTAGTGTTGAATTTTTAATTCCCTGGAATCATAATATATAATAATCATAATTTTAGAGAGGTTTGTTTTTAATAATAGTACAAAATTATTGGCATTATAATTTATTTTTTTCCCCCACTTCTTGTGACAATATTCTCAACAACAAATTTACTAGTTTTCCAATATTTTACATTAGAGAACTTAGACAATAAATCTTAAGTAGTTGCTATATATTTAGATTTAAAAAAAGCTAGTGACAAATTAATCACAAAATACTTATAAGCAAGTTGAAATCTATAGGTGTCCATAGTCTACTATTATCATGGTTACAAACCTACATATCCAGTAGAGTTCAAAATGTTAAATACAAATCTTATATCACCAAAAATTTGTATAACTATTCAGGTACTACCCCCAAGCGGCTAATTTAGGAGTGTTATTGTTCTTGACCTATATAAATGTCATAAAATTTGTTACCAACATGCCCATTTCTAGTATTTGCAGATGACTTGCAGTTACACATGCAAATCAAAATCATAGAAGATGACAGTAAAATAGGTCAGCAGGCAATTAATTTTATATTAGAGTGGAGCAGTTGCAATTTTTTGTATCTTAATCTTAGTTAATGTTAAGTTATGAGTTTCTCGTACATGAAGTCTCCCATAACAGTTTCTTACAAGATAGGTGGACATCGGTTGGAAATAGTTGATCAAATTAAAGACCTCAGAGTAATATTTTAACCCAAAATGAAATTTGATAAACTGTTGTCCATATTGTTAATAAGCCAACTAAATGATTGGTTTTGTGAGCAGGATGGCAGTTGAATTTAAAGATTTAATGTCTCTTAAAATAATTTATTGTACTTAGTTAAAGCCAATTTTAATGTATGCTTCTCACGTATGGTCTCTGTTTTAGTTGTCCTATTACAACAAATTAGTAACATTAGCACAAGTATCTAAATTTTGTAACTTGGAAACTCAAAGTACCATCTTTGTTTTTAACCCATGATTGTACACAAATAGCGCAATACAGTAAAACTAGCTCAATGCAGACCCTCAAGGGACCAGTATTTTTTTCCCTATTAGACAAGATTCCACTTTATACAATGTAATGTATTAGAACTGATGTTTGGCAGGACCATGATTCATGTTCACATTAGACAGAATTTCGCATTATGCATGTTCTGCATTGAGCAAGTTTGACTGTAATATGCATCTGATTAAAAATTATCTGCTAATTGATTTTAAATGATTCATGGTTGTAGCTCAGTTACATGTAAAGGCTTGTAATTGAGCGACTGCCTCTTATTATAATTTAATAATTATCATCAGTAATATAAACAGATCAATAGAATTGTTCATATTCAACTATCAAATAGAACTAGATTACCTTGTTCTGTTAATAAGAATTTTATCTTACTTACTTTACGTAAAAAACTTGTATTTAAGCAACTGCCTATTATTATAACTTAATAATTCTCATCAAAAATATAAACAAGCCAATAGACTTGCTATAACTACCAAATAAAACTGTTCTGTCTTGTTCTGACAGAAAGATTTTTATCTTTTGTTACCTTAAACAATCTGTTGTATTATATGTCAATTGGACAAATGCCTGTGAATAAATTATATGAAAAAAGAAGGGGGAAAAGGTGTTGGTGATAGAAAACAAATTACAGATTACAGGTTTATGACCTTTACTCTAATATAGGTCTTTATTGTAGTATTTCATAGTGGTGTGAATGTATCTCTGTTTATATATTACTTTTATGTTTGGTTGGATTTCTTAAATTTTGTTCCTGTTCAAGATTGCTGATTACATAGTTAATGAAATTGAAATTGTTTATTTTGAGTGAAATATACATTTTCAATGAATATCAATAGAGTGTAGAAATATAATAACTATACTTTATGTAAACAATGCACAGGTATAATTTCATGAAAGTTCTTGGGAGAGGATAAAAAGATATCAGTTAAGAATGTCAAGTTAATAATATAACTCAAATTAAAAATACCTTGTGTTGTTGTATTAAAAAAAAACTTTGATTAGAATTCATTATGAAAAATAATATATTCTAATTTAAATATGATTCTAGGGTGTATACCTCTTTTTAATCATGATATTTCTTACAAATACCTTTATTTCAGCAATATTCATTCTGCCGAAAGTCAGCAATGTAGAAATTGTGATTTTTTTTTTTTATTATTATTAATATTATCACCATCATCATTATTATCATTATTATTTTAATTTTTGACTTGTTTAGTGGAAGGGAAAATGCAGTACCCATATCTCAAATTCGTTCATCTTTCTATCTCTTGTTGTGTGTTCATGTTTTGTGTAAATCAAGTTAAGCATACTTTGTATACTTCAAAACATTGTATATGCCTGATGATAATTTATTTTTCTCCATTAAAGATATCCTACTGTAATTAACGTAAGTGATATTGAGAATCCTTAATTTATAATGATAGATCATTATGTCAGGTGGCAGGAAGAATGACATGGACCAGATATCATTGTCATCATATTTAACTGACTACTGAATTTGCTTTGTCCTATTTTTCCTTGCTTTTGATTAGGAAAACAAAGTTTTTACAGAATTTTTTCTGTTCTAGTGTCACTTGAAATTCATTTGGAACTACAATGTTATGAACCAGCAAGATGGAGCATAGTTACATGACTACCTTGATTAATTTATTTGGAATAGCATTGTTTCTTGGTGTACAGTTACTGTGAAGTTTTTCCTCAATATTTCTCTTTCTTTTATTTTTACTTTTCAGCGTGAAAGTCCTGTGTTTTTCTTTATTTAGACTATGGCACTTTTCTGTTTCTTGTGAACCTGTTGTGACTTACCTACTTCTTCTAGAATGATTTGGAAAGAAGTCTTTTTATGATGATGGTGGTGGTTCTAATCTTATAAATACTTTATCGTAGTATCATTACACTTGAATTGTACTTGTTGTAGAACATTTACTGTAATTATTGTTGTCTTCAGAGTGTATTTATGTGTGTCTGTTACCAAGTGCTCGTTCCTGTTATTATGAGTAATCCGAAACAGATTGCATGTGTGCTTATTGTCATTTTCCTGCAGTTGCTGCAAGATATGTTATGTTTCTGTAACAGATAACATCTCATGTTCTGTTGTTTGATGTATTAAATGTTGAAAAGTAGCAGTGAATCTTTTCTGTGTAAGCCAGGTTGCAAAAAGAGTAATTGTTAGTTCTCCAAACTATGTACAAATTTTCTAATCTCTTCTGCTGAGTAGATTATCTTATTTGACTTTAAATTGTGCATGTAGATGGTGCATGCTTAATACTAGTTTATTTCCATTCTATACAAACACTTATTTCAAAGTAAGTATCTTACTGTATCTGTGTTCGAGAGTGTTGAAAAAATTATAGTATAAATGACGGAGAGAGACCTTTTAACAAAATAAGTTCATACTATGTTGAACTTTTCCCCTTGAAAATACACATTTTTAAAGACACTTCATTTGTGGACCAAAATATATAAGTAATAAATAATTATACAGAGTATTTTTTTTTTTTAATTTTCCCACCTTTTTTCTCTCTTCAATTTAACAGAACTTTACAGCCATTTTATTATGTGTTGTAATGTGACAGACATGGGTATAGTATAGCTCTCAAAGAAAATGCAGCTTCTCTTTTTTTGTTATTAGACTTGTAACATCAGGTATTTATTTTGAGATATTGAAATAACTGCTGGCTTGTTTTTATATTACAGGTTTATTGAACTCATCTTATACTACCTCTTTTGCAACACTCTTTGTCATGAATATCTGTGAAATACCTTGTGTGTGCTCATGTTAATACTCATATTATATTTAAATTGAAAGAGTATTGAAATGTTACAAGGAAAATGCAGACTTTGAAACATAGTCAATATTTTAATAAATAATATTGAAGTAACATTTCAGATTTATCATCTTTTTAAAACAAAACTAAAGACCTTTATGAAATAAGTTTTAGGTGAATTATTTGTAACTCAAGTTTATTCTGAAACTGATCATTGAATTTTTCCTGTGCAGACACCTCCAATGTCACCAAGAAAGATGCCGACTCAGCAATCACTTGATTTCAAAGATCCAATGAGCAATCTTACTGCAAAAGATATGTAAGTATTTTTTTTTTCTGTTTGTGTGAATAAGTTATTTTGCAAACATTGGTTATTAACTATTCTTGACCAGAACATCATCTGAAAGTGGAAGTACAGAAAGTGGTGAGAGACGGGCTAAGAGAAGTACGGCAAAGCGTCGCTCTAAGAATACTACAGAACGAGGTCCTAAATTATCAGTACTTTCTGTTGGAAACAATGGTTCTGAAATAGATTTTCAACTAGAAACTGGGAAATACAAGACTGTAACTTTCAAGTGTCACACTGCAGACATTGTTCCTCAGGATATAGCAAATAATCTGGCAAGTATATTTAAAACAATATTAAATCAATATTTGTATTGATACTGTGGTATACTACACTGTGGTATTGGGCTGGGGTATGATTTGTTTGCTGATGAGAATTTGTTAATACAAGAAACTTGCTTAATTGCATAAAAGTGAAATATAAATTTCTCCTTTAATAATTTTTTTCTTAATTAATTTAAGGTTTTTGCAGTATTAATAGATGTGAATTTATATATTCATAGGTATCTGAGAATTTGTTGCCAGAGCATTACTCAGATGTATTTATTGAACTTATTAATGATGTGGTGAAACAACTTAAAGAAAATCCTGGTCGTTTACCTGTAATAGAGGCAGCTACAACAGAAACTGCAAACCGAAAAGCAAGGGATAGAGAACGAGACCATACTGACACTCAGTCTAGGGTGAGTTGTATTTACTATGTTGTTTTCATGTAATCAGTTTGTGTTATTTTGTTTGTGAATAATATTTAATTTTCTTATGTGTGTTATACATGAAGAAACCAAGAGTACTAATTCATGTACTGATAATTGTATTTGTGAAGAGCAAGTTATTCAGTGCATAAAATTTATTTGCACTGTTATTGCTCTTATAGACCTCTTTTTTTGTTGTTATTTTATTGGTGAATTTTTTTTGCACATGTTTGCTATATTGACTGGTATGTGATTCTACTTGATCACTGCAATAAACAGTCCAAGAATGAGTCCAAACAATCCATGTACAATGAATTTTCATTATGAACTGCAATAACAAAGTAGAAACAAGGGTTTGGGGGGGAATAGAAGAAAATAATTAATGGAAATATGAATTTTGGATGTTTTAAGTTTCCAGCATTCAGAAGTTAATTTGAATAAGTTGTTTGAATTAATTATTCACAGAAAAAAGGCCTGTAAAGGCATGTACAGTGAAACTACATTTATACGTTTTGCACTTATACGTTGGTGTTTGTAAGTTCCGGATAAATTTCTACATTTCCCATGATAAATTATTTCAGAGATGCGTTTTATGTTTATACATTCTTGAGACTTGTACATTTATAATGTAAGACCCTTAAAAACCATGACATGTCCAGATGATATCGGTGGTCAATAAGTAAGAACATTTGCATTATTATAGAGGAGCCCAAGGAATTTTTGTGTTGAATTCAGTATTCAGGTTGTTTAATTTCATCGCTATGCAGGGTGTTTCAGTTTGTTTAACTCTTCATTTTGGAATTTTGGACAAAATACTGATGAAAAAATAGGGATATTAGTGTCATCCAGAGCAGTTTTGCATAATGTTTATCAACATTGCACAATAAGCATTGGTGGATTTAAAGAAAATCTTGAAATTTGGGGAAATCAAAGATGTATAATGGCAAAAAAGAACTAGCTAGGCTATCCCACACGAACCCTGTCTCTGCTTCGGTGGTTGAAGTTCTGGCCAGCGTACTGTGGCCTTCCTCAGAGCGTACTCGTGAGGAAGGCCACAATATGCTGGCCAAATCATAAGCCACCAAAGCAGTGATGCGGCTGGTCCCTAATAGCCTAGATAATACAAACTCTGGCCACCGAAGCCTATGCAATCATTAAAGGACTGGCTGCATAAATTACAAATATCATTGGTATCTTTTCCACTGGGTGTCGTGCCTGTACATTGCCCGCTTTTCTTCTAAGTAATGATTAATGTACTTCACTTCTGGTCTCGATCAGGTTTTGTCCAGTTTCCCTGCTCCATTGAGCAAATGCTGAGATTGCCCCTTGTTTTGCTTCTGGACGTAAATTTAGCTTCACTATGCGCACGTTTTGTTGCATTTACCTTTTGCTACTAGTGGTAGCAGTAGAGCCGAGGGTATGTTACTATTTTGTTTGCAATACAAAAAAAAAATAGTTTACCAATGCAAATAAGTTTTCGGTAACTCAAGAGCAAAAATGTGTAGTTTTCATACCTTTGCTTTTTTTAAAAACTTTATTCATCATTGGACTATTTATAATGAAAATGTTGAGAAGAGATTTTGGAGGTCAAGAAAACGTGCAGATGGTACTTCTTCGCCTTATGTCACATGTGGTTTTCACTGTTCTTTGGCTAAATAAATCAAAAGTAGCATTGATAACAGTTCCTGCAAGAAGCTCCAAGAGTGAAGCACGCCCATATAAAAATGCTGAGTTTGTGTTTTGCTCATAATATTTTGTTTTAGTTATGCGTTTTTATGACTTAAATTTTGTCCTTTCAGTTGCCTGAGAAACGTATAAATGAAGTTTTACTGTAGTTTCAATATTATCTTTATAACAATTTTCATTATGTACTTATAAATACAATTTTTTAATTTTCTTCTCTAATGACATTGGGCCTTAAAAAGTAAGGGATTGCATCATTCCATTCTGAAACTTAGAGTTTCTCAATTACATTAATTCCTTCAGTGTAGATTTTATAATAAATACCTACATAGACCACAATTAATTCAAAGAAGGCAATTGATCAAATAATAATTAACAAAATCACTACTATATATGAAATTGCAATGGAAGATTTGCGATACAGTGACCACAATGCACAAATTCGTACCATTACAAGAAATGCGATCACTGACACCATAAATATTACACACGTGTAGCTTGCTGACTAAAAAGTAAAATTATTTATAGACTACTTGCTACAGGAATTGTGGTATACAGTTCTGTTGATTCAAATGCTGAATGAAGAGCAACTGATCAAAATGCATCAACTCCAAAAGGTCTTTGTGTGAGAATGTGTTAATTCAAAATGTGAATCTTTACCAGGGAGTAAGTGGGACCATTCCCCTTAATGGAGCTTGCAGGCTCGATATGGTCCTAGTGAAGGGAAATGAGTAAACATTCTTTCCCTAAGCTCTTTTGGAGTTTAAAAATTTTAAGCAGTTGCTCTACAAATATAATTAATTTTTTCAACACATGTTCAATCACAACAATTTACTTTCATAATTACCTTTATATGGAATTATGATATTGCTGCAGATTGGTTATGTTCATATGTTTGTACCTTGATAAGTGGTGATTTTCTTCTTCTTTCTTTCTTTTTTTTTTCTTTTTCCTCTTTTTCTACTTCTTTTCTTGTTTTTCTACTTCTTTTCTTGTTTTTCTACTTCTTTTCTTGTTTTTCTACTTTTCTTGTTTTTCTACTTTTCTTCTTTTTCTACTTCTTTTCTTCTTTTTCTACTTCTTTTCTTCTTTTTCTACTTCTTTTCTTCTTTTTCTACTTCTTCTTGTCTTCTTTTTCTTCCTCTTCTTTTTCCTCCTTATCTTGTTCATTGTCTTTTTCTTCTTCATCTTTTTTTTATTTTTTGGCAAAAATGACTTACTCATAAGTGGGAACATTTTCAGCACCTACAGATAGCTATAACTATAACATTTAACATAGTAATCATATTCGTCAGGTGTCAGTATCAAAAACTCACTACAAAGAATTGACACACAATACAAATACATTATTTTACAACACATTGTTAGATGACACAAAAAAATTAAAATTGATACACATGTTGAAGTGTCAAGTAAAATCTTTTGTGCTCCATGACTATTTCTTTACAGTTAGAGACTGTACCAAGCATCAAAAAGGAAAGTAATATTGACATTAACAAAGATATTTGATGTGTATTAGTTATCATTCAGATGGTACAATTCTAATAGACTAAATATGTCTATAACAAGTATTGTATCTTAGCCTGTGGGTCAATAATCCCATATTAATCCCATTTTTGTCCAGATTCTTGAGAGTTAATGCTGAGATGGCCCCTTGCTTTGCTTCTGGATATAAATGTAACTTCGCCATATGTGAAAGTTTTGTAAAGTTCAGTGGATAATATAGTTATTCCAAATATTGTTCTCCATGTTCTTGTGGCAGTAAGTCAATTCCTTCACAAAAGACGTGATAAAAAATAACAGTTAAAATCTGTAGCTGATTTCCTTCTGCAATAGTCTTTATTACACGTGAGTGAATATTTTCTTTCCAAAAACACTTATTTCCACTTTTATTCATAATTCAACTTGTGTAGGGATCCCAGAATTTAAGAATTAGTACACAAAATACACTTCTTTCCATTATATGTAACATAGCTCTGCACTGTTTTTTATGTTAAATAAGTACATAAAAGAAGATTTTAGTGATAAGTAGTCATGTCACAGAAACAAGGTTCTAATTGACTAGATGTTAGAGAGGGTCATTGCTATTTCAATTATTTAATTTTTAATTCTTATTTACACTTATTTGTTTTGCGGAAGTGTGGATGAGAAAGTGAAAGCATGATAATTCACTAAATGACATTTTCAGAATACAAAGTGTATCTTGTTCTTTTTTAAGCTTTTAAGAAATTGAAATTATTATTTTGCACCACTGGTTCCTTACATTTATGAAATGTTTCACTTCCTTATTAGTAATTAATTTTTTATTGCCTGTGAAATATGGCTACACTGACTTCTAGTTTTCGAGAGAACAGTTTTTTCCCTCCATTTATTTCTTCTTTTTGTGCTCTTTCATTTTGACTTTCTTTGGTGATTTTTGTTCATCAGTGATGTTTTAAAACAAATTCTAATAATTTCTCATCCTTCTCTTGCTCAACTACTTCCTCACTCCTTCAACCTCCTTCCTCCCCCCTTTCTCAGCCTTTCCCTCTTTCTTCCATTTTTTCTCTTCCTTTCTTCACTGACTTCTTTTCCTCTCTTCCATTTTTCTTCCCCATCCATCATTCATGCCTGCCTTGCCTACCTGCTCCCCCACTCCACACCTTTCACCTCAACCCACTTTCCCACCAGACATCCTAACAGACTCACCGTTCCTCCATCAACACTTCAACTAAAGTTTTCTCCCTCTCACATTTGCCTCCCCTCCCCTCCCTCTCTCCCTCCATCCCTTCCTTCCCTCCATCCCTTCCTTCCCTCCATCCCTTCCTTCCCTCCATCCCTTCCTCTGCCTCCACTATCCTCCCTCGCTTCGGGCTCCTCCACTGCGTCGACCCTCCTCCCGTCTCTCACGCTCCCTCCCTCTTCTCACGCTCCTCCCTCCCTTCTCTCACGGCTCCCTCCTCCTCTCCTCACCTCTCTCTCACGGGCTCCCTCCCTTCTCACGGCTCTCCCTCTCCTCCCTCTCTCCAAACGCGTCTCTCCTCTCTACGGCCTCTCCCTCATCTACGGTTCACTCCCTCCTCACGTTCCTCCTCTCCAGTTACACTCTCTCTCTCTACGTTCTCCTCCTCTCCTCTCTCACCTCACCATCCTCTCCCTCTCTCACGTTAGCCGTCCCTCGGCCCTTTCTTAGCTTCACTCCCTCTCCCTCTCTACGCTCACTCCTCTCCCTCTCAGCCACTCCCTTCCCTCTCCACTCCCTCTCCGCTCTCTCTCACGCTCACTCCCTCTCCTCTCCACGCTCACTCCCTCTCCCTCTCTCAGCTCACTCCTTACCCTTTTCTCAGCTCACCCTCCCCTCTTCAGCTCACTCCCCTCCCCTCTCTCCCTCCACGGTCACTTCTCTCCTCTCTCACGCTTCACCCTCTCCCTCTCCTCTACAGCTCTTCCTCTCTCTCCTCTCTCACGCTCACTCCTCTCCCTTCTCACGCTCACTCCTCTCTCCTCTCCACGCTTCATCCCTCTCTCACGCTCAGCTCCTCTCTCTCTCACGACGCTACTCCTCTCCCTCTCTCACTCTCTCCCCTCCCTCTCTCACGCTCATCCTCTCCCTTCTACGTCCTCTCTCCTTCTCCGCTCTCTCCCTCTCCCTCTCACGCTCATCCTCTCCTCTTCAGCTCATCTCTCCCTCTCTACAGCTCACTCCTTCCTATCTCACGCCACCCCTCTCCCTCTCTCACGCTCAGTAGTCCTCTCCCTGCTCTACGGACAACTCACTCCTCTCCTCTCTACGCTCACTGGTCCCCTCTTCTCCTCTCTCACGCTCACTCCTCCTCGCCTCTCTCAGCCACTCCTTCTCCTCTCATCACGTCACTCCTCTCTCACTCATCCTCTTCCTCTCTCACGCCACTCCTCTCTCCCTCTCTCACGTCACTCCTCTTAAGCTCACTCCTCTCTCAGCTCACTACTCTTCACGCTCACTCCCTCTTCACGCTCATCCTCTCTCCCTCTCCCTCTCCCTCCCTCTCTGCTCTCTCCTCTCTCCTCTCTCTCCCTCTCTCCTTTCCTCTCCCTCTCTCTCCCCTTCCTCTCTCCTCTCCCCCCTCCCTCCCTCTTTCCTCTTCCCTCTCTCCCTCCATCCCTCCCTCGTCTCTCCTTCCGCCATCCCACTCTTCCTCAAACCTTTCCTTCCTCCCTCCTCCCATCATCCTGCCCTTTTTCCTTCTTTTTACTTTGTCACCGTACTATGTAATTAACGCATAGTATTGTAATGTTGTGACAAAAATCGGTAATTTTTCAGCAAAAAAGCTTGTATTGTGGGGTTTGGGATCGAAAGAGTGGATAAACTGTACTCCCATGTGTAGTAAATACTTCTAACATGTTGTGTAATTAGAATTTAGCTAAGGGGAGGAAATCCCTGACAGAAAAACGGGGGACCCCTGTCACGGCGAAAGGAGGTCGAGAGTCTGCAGCTCACGTCCCCGTCGTACTCCTCAGAGCGACTGGCAGCGGATACTATTAATGAAGCCTCAGACGCGAGTGCGCATCATGGCGCACCGTGAACAGGCCACCATTTATGACTACCCTAGCTTCGAACGGTTCATGATTAGGATTCCCTTCGAGGCGAGTCGCTGCGTACATTGTGCCCAGAAAGGAGGGGGTGGCTACATGGCCACTGATTTGAATAACATGGTTCGGCATCACGATACTATCCATAGCAATATCCCCCTAATCTCTTCATGCTCCAAATGCAGCAAGCATTACAAACGTAAGCTGTCAGCTTTGAGTGATTTCCCTAAGTGGCCGTGCCAGAAAGAATCTAAAGGAGACTTTATATGCAAGTTTGCTCCGCCAATTTCGCAACCAAATCAGGGCTCTCACAACATTTGCGCCATGTTCATCCAGACACAGCTAATAGGGCTCGAGCTGCCAAGGTGCAGCGTAGTGGAAGGTCTGCTGTGCCTAGAGCAGGGAAAGTCGTCTCTTCGGAGGAAATTATGAAAATGGCGGCATTGGAGAAAGTGCAACCAGAGACGTTGAACGAGAATTTGGCTGCTCTACTGGGTAAGACCGCCCGACAGGTGGGTGAAAAAAGAAAAGAGACTACATATTGAAGATATTTAGCCACCATTGAAACTGTAGCTACCATCACTGCAAAGTCATCTTCGTTCCCATCTGACAGTCGGTGGTCCGATGATTTAGCTAGACCTTCTACTAGTGCTGCTGTTATCTCATCACCTCGCAGGCTCATTAGCCCCCTGACGACTCCAGTAAGCCAAATCCCTATTCTGATTTCTTCTTCTCCCTTGTATCAAAGGCCTACCATTGGGACAGGAAGGAAGCTGATGATCCCCTGCTCTGACACTTGTCCAAGGTGGAAACATCTTTACAGGTTGAGATAAGCAAACAGCCTTATACCAATTCCCTTCCAAAACCTCGGCGCATAGGCAGTGGCCCTGAGAAACTCGCAATGAAAGACATTGCCTCTCCGGAAGCAGATTGGGGACGATTCCCTAACGAGGAGGCAATTATAGTTTCACAGATGAATCAGGAGCTTTCAGCTGAGCCCGTCCTCCTTGATTCTGTTTTATCTGCTGTTGACATGGCCCATTCCGACACCGCTGGTTGGTTAGGACAGGACCAAACTTTTATTGAGTCCTCGGCTGCAATGACGCCTGGAGATGTAACTTCAGAAACTTGTCTTAACAGAGCCACACTAGAAGCCAAGCCTAACTGGAAGGAAAATATTTCAACTTAGATAGGAACCTGGGGCACTTCTAAAACTAATGAAGATCAAGAGCTCATTTAGGTGGGAAATGAACTCAAAACAAATATTGTATCCCAGGACCAATTGGGCGAGACCTATGCCAAGTTAGTAGAGATCTTGGGCAGCACCACTGTAACCACCACCATCAATTCTAAAAGGCCCCATAGACATGGATACAAACACGCTAGGAAGTGCTACTCTTATGCTAGGGCATAGGACCTTTTCAAGAATGATCAATAGTGCAAATTTTGGAACGTCTTCCTGCAACTACAATATCGAAAATTGATTTTTTTTCGTAATGAAATCTGTTCCTTAAAGGCAGATCTTGCTATAAGATCATGTTCAATTTTTTGAAAATATGAGTAGTTTTTTAGTGAAATATAGGCAAATTTTATTTTTTTTTAATCAATTTTACACAATTTTTACCATTCCATTTTTTCAATCACCAAAGGAACACATGAAGTAATACTGCTTCACTACCCACTAACAGGACAGGAGCACTGCTCCTAAACCGGGGCGGTGGTGATGATGATGATGATGATGATGATGATTTTTTTTCTTTGAACTTCCTCTTTGTATGTATCAAGGGACAGTAAAAAAGTGCTAGTCCCATTTTCAACGAGTGCTCTGTATTTTTGAAAACTGCAAAAAGTTAATATTTCATAACTACAAAATTCAAGATAGCGGTTTTTGCTTCAACAGAGTCTGCTGTAAAAAAAAACATTACGTTCGAAAAGATCATGTACAATTTTTTTATCAAATAAGTAGATTTCACTTAATTTGTATCTAAAATTTATCAATTCCTATTCTTCAAAATTATTTTCTCAAAAAAGCTTCAATTTTTTTATTAAATTTTATTAACTTATGACAGTAAAAATATGGTGCTAGTCCAATTTTCTCTTAACTTCGTGTTTTCAAAAAATGCATTTGGAAAATGGTGGTTTGAGACAATAACATTTTTAAGCAATTGTCTGCATTTGAAACTCATGATGTTTTTGTAGCATAGAGGTAAGGCATGGCAAGTTAACTTGTTGGACCTGAGTTTGAGTCTCTGTGAGGAAAAAACTTTTTGCTGGTTGAAATCACTAGCATAATATAGCAGAGTAGTTATAAATAATGTGAAAAAGTATGTGCTGTTGGAGAACCACTAGTTAAACAATTATTTTCTTAAAATGTTTTTTTCTTGTGGAAGAGCAAAGGATGTTAAAGAAAGCCCCCATTTTTGTTTTTGAAACTCTGAATTTTCGAAAATTGCAAAAGCTTTAATTATTGTGACAAAGTTTGTGCTCTAGTATCTCCACTATTTTCTTTCCTCTCTCCCTCAGTTCCCACTTTCCTCCCCGCCTCCCTTCTTTCCCTTTCTTCTTCATGCTTTTCTATGCAATCATCTTTCATCATGTTTTCTGTTTGTCTCGTTGCTGTCACATTTCTCTCATTTCCTCTGTTGATTAGTGGTTGGTCAATATTAGTTTTTTGGGTGTTAGTTTTGCATAGGCTGGTGCATTTTGTATTTTAACTGAAAATTATTTGATAGGTGGAAAATGACTAATGCTCATGCATGTTCTCAGCTTTGAAAATTATTGATGTAATTTTGTTAAGATTAAGGATCATCAAATGTAATTTCTCAAATTATTTATTTTAATCTGACACTGATGTGATATATCAGATTGTACTCAAAATTTCTTTTCTTTTTCTCATTTCTTGTACCTCTTCTCCTTTCAATCTTGCCCATCCTCTCATGTTCTGTGATTAAATTTTGTTGATACTTATTTGGCCTAAATTTTTGTTGGAACCTGTTCCAATTTTTGTTTCTGTCATTCTTCTTTTTTTTTCTTGAGTGTTTTTCTCCTTCATTTTCCTTGGTTCCTTGAGTCTCTTTCTACCTCTGTTTTATTTTATTTCATTTTATACTTTCCTGTTCCACAATTGGTTGTGGCAACCTCCTATCCCGTAGGTTCGACATTCTTCACTAACTCGGCAGAATTCACGCAGAGCTTCATACAAGGGTCATCGACGTCATCGTTCGGTGAGTACAATATCTGAATAGCAGTTTATTCTTAAATGTTCAACATTTAAGGAAAAGTATATCTATTGTAGTGTCTATAAACTGTTTGTTTTGGTTATGGTTTGTTGAAATATGTTGCTTGAGATGTAGTGCTTTTCATTAAAATTCAATTTATACCAGGAGTGGAATGTGTACTCATAATAATGTATGTATGTATGTTTTACCCCCCCCCCCTCGATATAAAATTGTGTGGGAGTTGACTGTTGTGCATCTTTGCCATTATACTGTTCATTGCTTACATTTGTGTGTATATGTGTATATATAAGCTAGTAAATCGTTTTACTGTAGTATGAACTATTCTTTCTTTTCCTTTTTTCTTCTTTTCTTTCTTTCTCTTCTTTCTCTCTATTCTTTTTTCTTTCTCTCTGTTCTTTTTTCTTTATTTCTTTCTCTTCTTTTTTTCTTTCTTTCTCTTCTATTTTTCTTTCTCTTCCTTCTCTTTATTATTTTTATTTTATGTTTCAAGCCTATTTATTTTCTTTTATTTCAACTCTAGTTAACCAGATGATATTTAAGACTTGACTAGGTTTCTATACCTTTGACAATTTTTTTTATAAAAATGTCAAATGTTTGTTAGAAGCATCATAGAAACACCGAAAAGAGAAAAATTATTATAAAAAAAATTTGCTGTGTCTATTTCATTAAGGTAAAAAACAACAACAATTGCACTAAAATAAACAACATAACAGACATTGATTCATTCAAATTGTATTATTTTAACAACAGTAGCATCTGTTTTTCTGTTTGTTAATGTCAAGATTTCAATGAACTTCAGCATTTCATAGATAAATTAGTTTTTAACCATTGTAAAAGTTACGACCATGATGCAATGAAGGATATAGTTCACAGGATTTGGTTGGAGTGAGGAGACCCATAATTATTTAGTAAGCCCTGAGAATGGAATAAAATTTTTCTTTGGCATCAGCTAACTAATAGTTTAATTGTTTCTATCCAATCCCGTGAACTACGTTCCTAAATTTGCTTTTGAAAATATGTATGCCTTAAATGACCATTCCTAGTAAATTAAGTTCAATTTCCAGAGAATACGTTAAAATTTGTCAAAAAATGAGATATTGTGTTTTCTACATGCTGGGTTATTTTTCATCATGCACATGTTTTCAGTATTTTTTTCTTGTGAATGCATTGAACAGAAAGTTATATAATGTTTTATATAAATAATGTATTATATAACAGGGAAGCTTTGAACAGATGACACGTCCCCTGTATTATGTAATTTTCTTTAAAACCTATGAAATTTTTGACAATAACAAATGTTGAAAATTTTTTCAGCACTTTTCACCAACTATATAATTAATTATTGAAATATATTTCTTAGTGTAATCTATTTCTCAATATTTTATCTTCAAATCATGAACAATTTTCTCAAAGTATTGCAAATGCTGTCAATCTGTAGGCTTAGATAGCTCAGTAAAGCATTGACTTGACGAGCTGTATTTTGTAAAAGTCCCATTTTCATTAACAGTTCTGAACTTCCATAAATTAAAATATGAATTTCTTTCTCTTCTCTTGGGGGTGTCATTTCATTAAGAGTTTTTCTAGAGAAGGGTGAACAATTGGTAAAATAAAAATTGTAAGATTATTTCATATCCATTGCTATTAATAATAGAAAGTATGTGATGCAGTAGCTCTACTTGTTTAATTGTCAAAAATCACACATCACTGCATATATAGTTAAATCCTTCAAAACGTAAACATACATTCCCACTTATTGGAAATGCATTTAACATTACTCTTCATTGGCATTTTATATGTTGCTTATTAAGCTTTAGTAAATATAATTTTTACCATTGAAAGTATTCAGTTGTGTGTTTTTAATTAAGTGCTTTATGCAGATTTCAGTTCTAATTGATAATTTGAAACAAATTATGAAATGAACTTATCTTCTTTGCAGCTCTTAATTTCACTATCAGACTATGGAAAGTTTATGGGAGAATTAGAACTTTATTGAAATCTAGTATGATTTTGTTTTTTATTTAATGCTTTGGCCTATGGCAGAGCTTAGAAAACATTTCAAGTTTTGTTTATATGAAAAATTATGAAACTTTTTTGTGAAATTTATTTTATTATTATGCTCCTGGTGAAATAATAGAATTTAAGAGATTTATGAATAAAAATTCAAATACTGAAGTATTGAGTTTTTCACTTGTATTTATTTTTCAATTTTTTGTGTATTTATAAGAGTTTGTGCCTATATACATGCATGCAAGTGTCCATATTCATATACATATATCTGTGTGTGCGTCTGACTCCGTGCATGTGAGCTCAATGAATGTACATGCAAATTGCGTACAGTTTTGTTTGAACATATTTGTGAGATGCAATGTGTATTGTTTATAATAACTTCTAAGAGGTAATAAACCTAGTAGCATTCCATTTTACCATTTACTCAACATTTATAATTTCACATTTTAATCTGTAATAGACTTCAGGTGTATGCATCATAACTACAGAACAGGAATAATACATTTTTATGAATTTTATTCTGAATTATTATAGCTAAAGTGATATACAACCAATAGAATTTTTCTTTGAATGTGATATACAAGCAATAGAATTTACTTTAAATGGGTTATATGGAATCTCAGAACTCAGGCATTATTGTTTATTGGCTATGTGCTGTAAGATTAAATCAGTGAGATGAATCTGAAGGTGGGGTTATTTCAAATGTTATGTGGTTAGTTTTGATTCCAAGATGTGATGTCAACTGAATGATAATTTTCATTGGATGGCAAAAATTTAGTGATAATTTGAAATGCTATCTTAAAACCTGGAAAAAGTGAAACAGAGCAGACGGTTTCTCTTGTGTATCTTGGAAATCCTGAGGTAAGAAGTATCCTAAAGTTGTTTGCTGAGAAAATTGGGGGAGTAAAGATGTCCATGTTGGAAATGATTAAATATAATCTCTACCCAAATGAGATGCCACTAAAAAGCTATGACCTCACCTTGTTCTAGGCATGACTTACTAACCTTTTTGTTAATTGTTTTATTTTGGACAGTTAAATTTTTGTTTTCCTGAAGGGTATTATTCTTTACTTTTTTGAATGAAGAATTTGTTATTACTTTGTGCGATAGCAAAATTACAGAAGTAAGCTTTGGAGTCTTGATGAAAAAAGGATGTACTTGGTGTAACCCAGATCAAAGTCAATTTATTTTATTATCGTATCCATTCTTTTTCTTTCTGGTTACTTATTGTTTTGCATTTTTATTAAATTGTTTCACTATTACATATATCAAAAGTATTGATAGACTATGAGATTACATTCTTATTTACTTTTGAGCATCAAGTTACATGTTCATAAAGTGAAATATGTTTGAATTAAAACTACTTGAATGGAATTTTTCCAATGGATATCTTATGACATATCATGTGATTATATTTAAGGTGTTGAGTACAACAGTGCCCTAACTTTTTAGGTATGCCTATGAACTTGATTTAGTGTGACCATCAGTGTATCATTTCTCTTCATTATTTATTTATTTATTTATTTATTTATTTATTAAATATTTCAGTGAAAGTGGATGTACACAAATTGAATGATATGACTTGGGTTTTTAATATAGTTAATTGTAAAACATACTTTACTTGGGAAAGATGCTTTTCACTCAAGGACAATAATGGACATGTTTATTTTTCTAGATGTGCAGAAGGTAATAGTGTCATAAAGGGGCTGACAATAAAAATTCAAATTTTTATATTTATTTTCACTTTTAACTGTTTCTTAGTATTTAATGAACCATGTTCCTTGAATAGTGTACCTGTCTTTATTTGTTGTGTTTTTTTTCTCCATTTCTCCAATTTTACTGTGTCTCTGATGACATTATGTAAGTAATGCTTATGAGGCTAGTATGAGAAAATTAATTTTTTATAACAGCATTTGTTTTAATTCCGTTTTACTTTCTTATATACATTCTATATAGAAAGTTGAATAAGACTGAAAAAATTCATTGAGATTTTGACTGAAATATATGTTTTGAGAATCCCTGTTACTGAAAAGGTTTTTTGAAAAGGATCTGTCCATCTGTGAACAACATTAGCATGGGACATTTTTCCAAAATAAATATACCTTCATCAATATGACCATATCATACCATAGGACCATACACTGCAAATTTGAATCTAATTTTCTAATTTTTGAGGTACTTCATGTGAGTCTATAGAACATTGTGAATACTTTCTCAAAAATTGCTCTCAATTTTTACTTTAAACTTTTGGCTGAAATTGTGAAAAATGCACTTAATAATATGGCACAAATCCATTTTTTTGAACCTCTTTAATTTTACAAGTTGCAAAAGGTCCATTTTTCCAAGTCTTACCTACACTTTCAAAATTGAAGCTAGTTTTCTCTCTGAATGCAGTTCCTCGTGCATTATTGAACATTAGATTAGATATTAATGATATTTCAGTCACAGCGTATTCTGTTTTCTCAAAATATTAGAATTTTTTGTTTAATTTTGAGTTAAGTTGTGACAATTTCCCACAAATTTATGAATAAGATTTTCTCATAAACAACTCCCATTTTTCTCTAAATGTTTTGTAAGATTAGAGAGTATTCTGTGGCATAAGTGAGAGTTACACTGTATTCTGTGGCATATGTGCCATTTTTAATTTTTTAATTTCAAAACTTGAAGATAGGTGCAGTTGAGTTCAAATATCATCCCAGGCAAATATTTTTGCGGGTTGCAAACACTCGCAGAGGTATGTTTTGGGCCAGTGAGTTGATCCTTAAGTAAAGAAACATGTAACTGACCATAAAAACAAAAGCAGATGTAATAAATTTCAAACAAATGAAAATTTCCCACTGGATAGCTAATATTATAAAATTACGTAACTATTACCAATAATATAAGCAAGTCTAGTTTCTGCTGTTGTGTTGTACTTATTTTCTGGCAAGTGTAATCTTGTTTTCTCTCCTCCTATCTCCTTTCCAAGTTCAATTGTTTATTTTTAGTATATTCTTTTGTTTTCTTTTTTTCTTTTAGTGGAGTATCAATAAAAAAAAATATTTTGAAAGTTAAAAAAATGTAATGGTTATTTTAGGAATAAGAATTTTTGAATATTTGAGAGTAAATGTAGTTTGAAAAACCATAGCCATCTGAGATTAAAAACAAATGTCTCCACTTTCATTGCTGTACATTACTCACTTTTGTTCCTGAATATGTATACAATGATTTTCAAGGCAACAATTAAGGTTTATTTTGATTCCAATGTCCTCCACTCTTTTTGCTTTCCGTCCCTCAGTCCAGTGTTTATGTGGGCATTGTGCAGCAATCATATGTGTTTTAAAATTGAAGTTACATTGAATTTAAATTTAATTTAGATTGAATTAAAAGGTTGTAGCAAACCTTCCTGCTTTTCCTGAATTTGTATTCTTATTCATTCAGAAAGCTTTTTCCTTTCTCTACCTTAAAAATACTTTCTGAAGGACAATACTTGAAAAATTGATTATAGTATAATTGAAATGATTTTCCCTTGTTCATTTGGTATTTCAAAACTTGTTTTTGAAAGTTCAAGTTTCATAAGTGTTCAATTTTGTTGAATTGCTTTCTTTCTGACAGGCAAGTGCTGCATAATATTCATGTAGTATGTAAACTTAACTACATGGTATCTTTTATAAGTTAACACATGCTGATTGTTGTCCTTTACTTGCAGCGAGATGAGACAGCCACTGCTAGCAAGCTTGCAGAGACTTTAGACAAGAAGAGAGCCTCATTATCAGGACCTAGCAGTCCTATGCATGTTTTACATCAACATCCTCTTTCTGGCATTACACCTCCAGTATCAGCTTCAGGGCCCACACTAAATGTTGCCCCTCAGGTATGTTTAAAGAAACTAATATTGCAAATCAAATTGTTGGTGAGAAACTTGACTGAAATGTTTAATAAAAACGTTTCGGGATATTATGTTTAGGAAATTAAATGAAAATTGGTCAAGGTACAATACCTCAGCATGTAGTGCAGTGTTTCAAATTTTTGTGTAATAATTAAATATCAAGAATGGAGTTTATACAGATATTTTTTATTCACATTTTCTTGAAATGTAAAATCCATTGTTCGGTTATTCTTAGGACAGGTCCCTTAAAAATTTTAGACAGTGTAGAAGTTTTATAATTCTCTTGTTCCATGTCAAGTATATTCTTCCAACGTTTCAGGAAAAACTGCACTCCAGCTTCAGGTCAGTTGTGATACAAAAAATTATTATATAAGATTATTTTTTTGTATCACAATAGACCTGAAGATGGACTGGAGTGAGTCTTCAAATATCATTGGAAGAATATGTTTACTTGATATGAAATAAAAGAATTATAAAACTTCTGTTGTATGTATTAAAAAAGAATATTGGGCTTGTGTTAAAATTGATGGTTCTTGATTCAAATGTTTAAAAAGTTGTGCTTAGCCAAAAGAAGAAACGTAAATACGACTGTTTTAGTAGGAAGTTGGGTGGAGGGATGGTGGTCTCATCAACAGCTTTTGACTGAAGATGGCCTCAAGGTGTACCAAAAAGCTTGATATTATTATTATTATTATTATTATTATTATTATTATTATTATTATTATTATTTTACGTGGTTCTGAAATCAAATTTAGACCATACGATAATGTTTTATAAAAGATAAAAGCTATGATTCAAAAGTCTTGGGTTTACATAAATTTAATTAAAGTAAAATTTTTATTAATTTCCATCTTTAACATATGCTTTACCTAATACTATATTTTTGCATTAAGATGTAGGAAAACATTATACAAAGTTGGTCAATGACACTTTCTAGAAATAGTGGTATTGTTGTATTGCAATCAAATGTGCAGATATTTCATTTTTGTCTGATGTTAATTTAGTATGCCTAAAAATGGAAGTTTCCATCTTTTTCATATTTCTTTTGAAGTAATTATTTTTGTGTTAATCAAGGTTATTTGAAACAGCAATATTAAAACAATGCCATCATTTAGTTTTATACTCCTATTGTCATTTCAAGTATATCTCACACCTACGTATTCGTCTTATGTTGCTATATTTAAAAAATTACATCTATTAATTCTCTTCTCATCCTTTCCTCTTTTCCTTTCTTATCCTTTTCTGTCCTCTCTCTTCTTTTCTTTTCCTTTTCTGTCCTTCCCTCTCTTCTTCTCTTTTCCTTTTCTGTCCTTCCCTCTTTTCTTCTCTTTTCCTTTTCTGTC